TTGTTTTCTTAATGAGAGAATAAAATAAATTTAATATTTTAGCCAGATTAATGGTGCTCATATGTCTAATAATTCTCCAGCTATGCTGGGGTTTCAAATATTTGACTAATGAATACCCTACTATATTTGTGAAAAGTACACAGAGCTCTCCAGGGAAGGAGGATATATTTTGAGGCCTAAGTGGAAGGAAATAATAGTAGTAAATATTACTTTCAAACCTGCTTATATTTTTATAATGACCATAATAGCAAAGACTTAATAGCAATGTCAAATAAAGCTGACACAAATTATTATATATAATTAGTGGAATCAATAATCTTTGTTTTAAAAATGGAATTATGGAATAATTTTCATTCATTTGCTTTCATTAAATTCAGTTTTACCTTTAAAGGAATGATTTTTGGAAAGACAAGAGAAGGAATTTTCACATGGTTTAAACTTAATGTAATTTATATAATGTGATGTGGAGATTTTAATACAAATCCTGTGCCAATTTGAGCATGTTCCTTTTCTACATTATATAGAAAACACAAAAATAAATATGTCTACTGCCTGTGTTTCACTGACTCACTTTTAGATGTGACACAATGGGTGATTTATTCACCTGTGATCAGCCAGTTGATTATGGAATCTAGTTAGGAAATAGAAAGCTTATACCTTCTTTTGGGGGGAAAGTTTAGAGTGAAGGTCATTAACCTGTTAGGCATTTTTACATAGTGCTACTTTGATAATAAAGTCATTGGGCAAGTGTAAATAACTGATTTTGTCTTTTTTTTTCCGAAAGTGTGGCAGATCTTAAGCACGCCATTCAAAGCAAATACAAGATTGCTATTCAGCACCAGGTGCTGGTGGTCAGTGGAGGAGAATGCATGGCTGCAGATGGAAGAGTATGCACCTACAGGGCTAGGATGGTAGGTATCTAAGAGACCTCTCATACAAGGACATTCCACCTTCTCATCAGATAGGAAGCTGGGAACTCAGTGTTCAAAAGCAAGGTTTATCTATGTCATATACTGAGGTCAGGGTATATATTCAGTATTTGTAAACTTTTATTTCAGTTAGTTCTGACTTTTTTTTTTTTCATGTAGGACACAAATCCAATTTTTCTTTTTAACAAAGAAATGATCTTAAGTGATTGTCCACCAGCTATTCCTAAAACTACATTTTCAACAGTAAACGACATGGAAATAAAAGTTGAAGAGTCTCTTATGCCTGCAGTTTTTCACACTGTTGCTTCAAGGACACAA